GTTCTAATGGACAATTAATGTGGTTGCAATGGGAACAAGGAGAATAGGCTTTTTTCCAATAACCACGACTACTGCCAAATATACCAACATGCTATGACCAATACAATGCCCTATAGCAAGAGCCAATTGGTCAAACACCAGCTGAGGAGACGAGAGCTTAATGATCAAATGAACAAGGATAAAGTAGTGGCAATGTTGGGAATGGTAGAATTGGCTATCAATTGTGATTTAGATGAAGATAAGAAAGAAATTTGGCAAAAAAGAAAATTATCACTATTTTTACCAAAGAGATGAATCAATGGTAACAAGCATGTACAGTAGAAATTCATCGCACTTCCCTAGTAAGGTACTATAGTATTAATGGAAAGGAAAATTATGCTGCTGAAGAGAAAAAGATCACCAAAAATAGAAAATATAAACACAATAAATATTATTTTCTTGAAAATAATTGGAGTATAGGAAATCCCACATTTTTCTTTATAGCATCTTGAAATATGACACTCAATACTATAAGATAGCTCGAGGCTATTGAAAAGCTATAAGAGCAACGTAATTAAATGCGTGCCATTTATAAAATTTGAAGTCATCATCACGAGTCAGAGTACACACATCAAGAATTTGAAGTTTATCACAAGATCTGAAAAGGAACAAGAAAACTCATAATCACAGAGAATAGTTGGTGCAATTAAATTTGATGGTGATAATGATGGTGAGGAGTTTCAACTTAAGAAGAAGAGATTGAGAGGTCATAATACCATTATAAGAGACGTTCATAGAATCTAAGTGGGAATCAAATCTTTGAGTCGATGAATATTGGGATGGATGAATCCATAGTGAAAAGAGAGAGGCATATAAGACGAAACAAAGGTGAGCTACAAAGATAGTTGCATGTGTTAGAGACATTAATTGCTCTTAGAGATAGTGAAGGTGAGAGACGAAACAACAGGATAGAAAAAAGAAGAGAAAGCACAAGTGGCACAAGCTAGGTAATGAGCGGTGCAAACACAACAGCAAGCGACCCAAGCACAAATGAGCAAACAAAGATGTGTGTTAGTAAGCAAGCAAGGGCATATATGATTTTTTATGAGAACAAGATAGAGATTGGAGGCTATGAGATTATAACTAGGGTTACCCTAGTCCGATACCATGTGAAAAGGAGAAAACTTTGTTATATTTTATTGATATGCTTATAAATAAGAAAATAGGGTGAATACAATTAGCTAAAAAAAGAAGAAAATATAATTTATTCATAAAATCAAACATATAAAATAATTTGAAGCTTTCCTACAATACTATTCCCAATTTTGTACATTCCAACTCATAACTATATGATGCCTGAAATGTAGCATAAAAAACTATTCATATCAAAGGTTATTTAATAAATCATTCAACCACCACTATCATTCAACCTCCACTCTAATGGCTCAAAATCAAAAGCAAGAAATTGGTTAAGGAGCTGATCTTCACTTTAAAGTAGTAAGGAAGTGATATTCAAAGCTCAGAATTCTCTGTAATACCAATAAGAATAAAGGAAGTAATAACACCTAGACGAAGATAACCTCACACCAAAAAAGGCCAAGCAATTTTCAAGCTACAGACGCTAGAAAGATAGAAGCATCAACTGATGAATTATTTATATTATAGGCTAGATATGACTAAAGTTACTAAAAAAACGAAGAAACTAATGAGGACATCCGACCTGGAGGGTCTACCATAGTCGTGGTCGTCGATCTACGGCCACAATTACGCCACTTTACTTTTGATTGACATTGTATTAGAATTATTTGTATTAGTTTATTTTGTGTTATGAGTTATTATTGCATTTTCCAATTATACCCTCATTTGAGGGCCTAGTAGTGTGTAAGCTCTAGGGGTGGACAAGTTGATCTTTTATTTTTCTTTCATTGTAATGAGGTTATTTAAAGGTCACCTCCTTCTCCTTGGAGGCCAATGAAGATTATTATGAAAAATTTCAGCCATTGAGTTTTGTGAGAGCTTGAGAGCTTCGGAGAGAAATCCCTAGGTGAGGGAATCAGATCACCTACCAGCCGCAGCAAGCGTCCAGACTCATAGTTACTTCTTTTTTCCTTTCTCCTCTCCTCTTTTCCCTTGACCCGCCGGCCTCCTCAACAAAGTCCTCCTAGTCGCCGACCAAAAAAACCCCTCCATCTCTCCTAGCCGCCAACCCTCCCAAGCAAAACCCCTCCTAACCGCCGGCCAACAACCCACCTCCACCTTCTCCTAGACGCCGGTCACCTAGAACCCTTTCTCTAAACCAACAGCTAAACCACCCTAAACTCCACCCCACCTAACCCTAACCCTAGCTGCCTGCCACCCAACCCTAATCTCCTTGCCTCCAAAATTCAAAACCCTTCCAAATTTGGCCTTTTTTATTTTGGGAAGAAATCATAAGTCATATTCAAAATAACTTTTGAATTTGAATTGGTTTCCTAAAATAGTACTCTCTGTTTTTTTAAAGTTCCTAAAATTAATCCCAATTGAATTTTAAATTAGATTGGATTTAAATTAGTTCCTTCCTAATTTAAATTTCCAAATCAATTAAGCATTGATTTCCATCCCCAAGCCCCAATCCCCCCATGAAGCCGCCGGCCCCATCCTCCCCTCTCCCTATTCCACAATAAATTCCTACCCCCTTTGGAGCCCCAATCAATTCCGTAAGCCAAGGAGCACTTTCCTTTTCCCTTCCCTTATTTGAAATTAAAATTCCAAAACCCTAATCCTCTCTTACATAAATCTAAAATTCAATTTAAGATTTCTTTTAGAAGAGGTTTTTCCCTCCTAGCCTTAGCCGACCACCCACCTCCCCTCACCATCATTATTCTAGGTTTGAAGCCTAACCTAGGGAAGAAAAGGGAGAAGAAATCACACCACTTTTCCTCCCACACCTTACAAACTTCTCTACCCATGCATGGCGGATCCGAAACTTCATCACGGATTTGTTTACGACGACCAAGGCCACGTCGACATTCTCAACTCACCGTTCTGGCGTTCTTCAACTTCAACCTCGAAATTGACCAAGCTGTAGAAGACTACGTAGAGAGGATCGTCTTCACCCTCGTCGGAGCTATTGACGAACAACTTTCTTCCGTCCAATGGCGGGTTGTTTCTAAATCCTGAGCAAGGTGAATCTTTCCCCCAAATCTTTTCATATCTAAATCTTACCCTAACTTGTGGTCTTAATTAAGTCGTAAAGGTTGTATTAACTCCCTCCGCTAAACCTAGTAATTTAGAGAGTTGATTGAGGGATCGATTTTCATAGTGACTAGTCTCATAGTTAATTTAGGAATTTCTTGTTGGAAACCTTTCATGTATGCTATGTTTTAAATCATTGATTATTTTGTAATCCTAAATTCAAATTGTGTGACTTAGCCTAAGCTAGTCTCATCTCTTTCTTGTTTTATTTCATCGTTTAATCATGACAAGTATTTTAGTTAATAAAGCTCTCTAAATTAAATTGTGCAAGATTCTTTTCTACCATCGCTTAGGCATTTAAGTCTTGCATCAGAAGCATAGATAATACAAGATAATGGATCTAGGCTTTATTTTGGACTGCTTTATTTAGCGTATTTGTCGTAGGGAAACTAGTCGAAAAAAAAAATAATTCATGTGCGGTTGATAAAATTGGATAACTTTTTTCTTTTCCCCAAATATATTTTGGAAGAGTTAATTTTGAGAAAGCATAATAGAAATTGTGGCTAAGAAATTACAGTGTTAAAATTCTAGGAAAAGCAAAAAAGCATAAGGCATCCCAAACAAAGCCATAAAAATTTGGTCAACCACTGTATGAGAATAAGAAATAATCATGATGGCACTAAAGAAAGAATGAAAAGTTATTTCAAAAAATTATTTAAAGTGGATTTTATGAAAAGATGATTTTGGAAGAGTATAATGAGTTAAACAGTGAAATATACTATGTAATAATTTAAAAAAGTTAAGTAGAGTTAGTTTTAAAGAAGTGCACAAAGGCAAAGCTTTAGGTTTAAATAAGCAATAGTTATGGATGATATTAGAATTACTTTGTTTAAAAAATTTTAATAATGAAACTTTGAAGGCTATGAAATTGTAGAATGATAGAAGAAGCATATTGATTCTAGCATTCAAGGATAAAGGAGATGTTTAGGAATGTGACAATTATAGGAGAAGTAACTCATGAGTACTATAATAAAGTAGAGCAGAGATGAATGAAACATAGACTCAAAAAAATAAGTATGATTATCGGAGAATCACTTTGGTTTATACCAGAAAGATCCACCATAGTTATTTTTATTCCAAGGATATAATTGAAAAGGTGTAAAAGTAGAGAGAGAAACTTTATATAATTTTTAGAAATCTTGATAAAACATACAATTGCATATCAAGTGGGTAGACTTAGTGCACATTGAGAAAAAAAGTTTGTCAAAGTTCTGTTAAAGTCATCAAGAATGTCAAAGTTATGTTCAAGTAATCAAGAATATGCATTGAGCATTAACTAGTATTAGCGAAGAACTTGCTATGGAAAATCAAATGAAGATATATGAAAAAGAAAATGAAGTTGTACTTCAACAAATAAAAGAGATTGCAAGACATTAGGGACACTATCCTCAATCAACCAAAAGAGATGAATCACTCAAAAAGAATACAAGCTTCTAAAGAACAAATTAAATAAAAATCCTGCTTCCATTATGCCCCATGCATATTTATTATATCAAAAATGCAAGCATCACATATAGCTCTTGGGTGTAATTGGGAGAAAGATAATTATTATTCAGGCAGTTGTAAGAATTATCCAGCTCCCTTCCATTATACCCCATGCATATAATATCCTATAAGTTTGATGTATTGAATGTTGGACTAATATCCATCCTACTAGACACTTCAACTTGATATGTAGTTAGACCAAATTTTTTCAAGGCATGACAAACCCATCTTCTGTTGCATGAGTTTGGGATATGTCAATACAGGGAATCTCTCCTAGCATAAATATGCCATTATCATGTTACCTTCCCAGTGCCCATGTCGGCAATGTGTGTTGATGTCTGTAGGTGTTGTTCATATGATTTTTTAAGAGTCCTCATTTGTTCTATTCATCTGTAATATTGCTTACTAGCTTCTCCTCTTCAAAACCTCTTGTGAAATTTGGAATTGGCGCATAATCTATGCTGTGTCATAGGTTTCTTCCAGAAACTATTTCAGGACAACTTTAAGTTGACCGACATTTCCAGAAGTTGTACTGTTGTAGTAACCTTGGCTTGGGACATGCCCGTCTCTCATTATCTGTGATGTAAAGCATTTCTCCAAGGGATCAATTAACTAAATCGATATTCCCATAAGTTCGAGGATAATAAACAAAATGGTGTGATGTGAAACATAATTGCATGGATGAATTGCTTAAGGAATTTGCACGCTTAATATTCCTAGAACAAATAACTATAACTTGATGGTGAATTTAAATGACGCAATAAAACACAGAGAGCGGTAAGACAAGCTTAGGCTAAACCACATGCATAGGAGTTAAGATCGTAAAATAGCCAACTTAATCTAACGTTGCATGCATGACTGGTTTTCCACAATAAATTCCAATGCTAACAATAAGATTAGTCACTAAGCAAGGGTCCCTCACTCAACTCTTTATCTTGCTAGGCTTTAGCGGATAAGACTAACACAATTCCAATGAATCAATTAATTCCACAATTGGATGCAACTAGGAGAATAAAAGAATAAGGGAGAGAGTTTACCGAATCTAGGTTTGGGACTTGGAGCAGCACATAGAAGGTTTTCCTAAGCTGGCAATCGTCTCTTGTGACAAAACCAAGTTCCTTGATTACACCATATAATAAACAATAACAGAACTTCGGTAGATGAGCGGTAGAAATCAAGATGCAAAATTTCACTGTAAGTAAAGGAATATGTAGCATCACTATGTTGAAGTCCCTGAACAGTTTGGCAGAATTTGATGATCAAATTAAATACAATAAGCACCAGAAAAGTTCAACATCAATTATACATATTAAAAAATACTAACAAAATAGAAAAGGTGCCAACAATGCCCTCCATTTTATCCTTGTCTCCTAGCAACCGTTAAAAAGTCCTCTGAGGGGATTTACTTCCTCCAACCAAACTCCAACGAATGATAGTTAAATTATATGAATCCCTACTAGTAGCCCATTAAGATCTCTAGTCCGATGGTACAGAGGCATGTTAATTCATGAAGCCTAAAGGCTTATATTAGCCTGCTTCTTGACATGAAATCCAGGATCAATTAGTCACAAAGTGATACCTCGACTCCACATAGCTTTCAACATCCCAAAGGAAAGATCCAAATGTGACAGCTTCCAGAATAAGTCTTCTTAAACCTCCAAAGCTTATTTTGATAAGCTCATCCTTAGAGTCATCAATAGCACCTTGGGGGTTGATTACTATCTCAGGCCTCCCAAATAATGCCTCAGTCTGCTTCTCAACAACACTAAAGGCCTCTTTTGACCGTATTGTGGCATACCTTTGCAAGGTATCCGAATCAAAGGACATAACATAAGATCTCAAACGAGCTGATTTGACCCCACGCTCAGACCCACTGGAGTTTGAGCTAGGGGAATACCAAGTTTGTAACTTTGATATTGAATTTGCAACTTGAGCTGAAGGCCTGGATTCATCAGGAATTGCCATCTTAATGGCATTCTCTTCCTCGTCAGATCCCCAGGGTAAGGTCTTCATTGATTTTTCAAGCTGAAAGCGCTCATCCACTCTCTTAAGGAAATAACCATACATGACAGAGGCTGCATAGACCTGCCCAACGCGAAGCTTACTGATTGGAGCAACAGTGTTCAAATCCTCCAATCTCTGTCCTAAAATGAGTGTGAGATGATTCTTGATCATCACATAAGCCTCATGAGAATGGAGCTGCACCATCTTCTCCTCCTCCGGAAACCATCTATCCATCCTATTAGAATGGTCTGCTGATTGTGATAATGGAAGAATCAAAGAAACATTAGCTTCTACAAATTTTTGGACGACCAAAGCATACAGCATCTCTTCAAGAGCCCTTCTCCTTTCATTAGCCTTCACTTCAGCAATTCTCCTAAAGCATACAAGCGCATAAATATCCCAACTTCAATTTTCCAAAAAGGCAATTCAATATCAAATAAGATGAAGATATCAGCTTACCTGTACAAAACTAGTTCGGTGCCAGAAGAGGGTGACTCATCATTGCTCTTATCCTCATCACGAGCTGTCTGAAGCAACTGCAGCTGCTGGTCAACAGCAGCCGGAACAAGATGAGGGTGACTGAGGAGGATCTCAGAGAGGAACTGCCCAACCGGAGACTCCAGCTGCAGAGGGGCAATAGGAGCTGAATCGTCAGCTGACGACTCCGATTCAAAAGAAGACGACGTAGCCCTGATGTGGAAGCTTCGCCGACCTATCATCCAAGTGGACCGCCTCCCCGATACAGAAAAAGAACGCCGACCCTGCGGAAAGCCATCGAAATTAGCAAAAAGGAAACTAGGGCAGGCAAATAGAAACTTTAAGAATTTTTGAAACCCTAACCGTGAGCCAGGCGGCGGAGAAACTGGCCTTCGATAGTGCTCGGGATCCATGGAGCAATTTCGGATTTCTGCAGTGGCTAAAAGGAGATGAAAAAAGCGAGGCAATGGATTCCATGGCGGAGAACAAATTGATTTACCTGAATTCAACGAAGTTGATACAGGAAATCAGAGATATGGAATAGCGAAAGGAAGAATACAAAGCGAAATCTGCTACTGCCCGTTATGGTTATCAGTTATCTGCGGAAATGTTAGATACCGAGTCCTAGAGCGAGCTGTTCCTTCCCTCCCTAATAATAATCCATGGCCCAAATTCGGCCTTTCGTATGGTCCAAGTCCAGCCCACTAAGTCTTTGTGTTACACCACGCGTTCTGCAAGAAGTTACATCAAGAAGAAGTGAACTAAAAAGCCAATTTATTAATAAGATGTAAATAACTAATACATCATCCAAATAATGATTATTCTGATGCAAGCTAATATAAATGTAAATAGAGCAAAAAATAGAAAAGAAACTACTCAATCCTCATGATCAAAAATATAATAAATTACTACAAAATATAAAATATCAAAAAATGATAGTCCGTGCTAAACACCTATGTAGGACAAGCGACAATATATTAGTTTGTAAATCAAACTCAACAAGTAACTCCAATCTATCAAAGCATAACAAAAAAAAGTGGAGCTTGCATTACGAACAACCAAATGGTGGAAATAACAACTGAAAGTCACTAAATTAAATTAACAATGACACATGTCATATTTCCTACAACAGAATTCTAATATATTAATATCATTCATGTATGTGTCAAACTATTATTAATGCAAATTATTTTAATGTTCATAAATCATATCTCAAAATGATATATCAGTCATTTATTGATTCCAATTCATCTAGGCTTATTTTCTCACATTTATACATATATATTCATTGTTGGTTTATTATATGCTCATCATATATAAGGTAAGCATCAACCTATGAAAATTCAGTGATTTTCTGTAGAGTCATCACTCTAAGGGTCAATCGACCCTGACTAGCCAATAACCAATAGGGTTCTAGCAACATACACATCAGTGCACCCAAGCATATAGTTTTCCAAAATTTTCATGCACACTTTTCAATAGGTATATAGTTTCAATATGAAAAAGGTTATTTCATAAATAGATATGTTTTGCCAATATATTGCATTCAAATGAAAACAAGTGTATGGAAATATATAAAAAAACATAATAATAATAATAATAATAATAATGTACATGAGTTTATATAGAAATAAGTCAAGAATAATCCACTTAAGAAAATTTGTAGTTCATTATGAGCATGAAAATATATTTATAAGTACTGGCAAATAATTAATAAACTTTACAAATAATGATAAGACTAGCTATCTAATTAATTATAAAAGAATTTAAATAGCATCGTATTACATCCTTAACAAATAAGGATATATTTACTCAAAATAAATAACAGTTACTTATAGTGGTTACCACTAACTCCTACCTCGATTGCGGTTCACTCAACTCCACCAAGCGGTGGTTCTATAAGAATCGAAACTAAAATAATATAACACACGCATGTCAAAGGATAAAGAAGATTGTCCCAATCAACCTTAGCCATGCCTTCAATTTAATTATAAAAATTATACGATCTAACATATATAAAAATAACCTAGAGTTTGATTAAGTCGAACAACGAACTTAGATAAAACTGTCTCTACAAAGCAAAACAAAACTCCTATGAGAAAATTAAGACTATATGAAATATAATGCAAATCAAATTTTATCTCACAAAAAAATTGAACGAATTCTTAACTAGATTACTAGAAACATAAGAAGAAAGTGAGGATAAAAGAGAGAAGAGAGTGAACACTTACTATGGAAGGAGAGGAGTTTGAGAAGGATTCACCAAGAGTTACAATTGCGAGGAAGAAGCGAATGAGGAAGAGAAATGAGAGTTTGATGGCTGCTATTTTGGGGGAGAGAACGAAAAGAACAATGTGGGAGAGTTATAGTGGTTGTTGCAATAAAGAGGAAGATTTTGATGCCCTAAGTCTCCAAATTGAATTAAATGGCAAAAGCAAGATAGACGAGGTGAGAGATTTCTGTAAAGCAGTCGAACCACAAAAATTTATGATTTGAGAGAAATTTTCCTTATGGAAGGCCATTCAATCGGCTTACATGAGGGAAAGCCTGCTTAGTTCATGCAATTGGGAGGAAGGAGTCGAGCTTGGCTTCGATTCAGTTTTGCGCATGAAAGGGGAGCGGGCTTAATGTGTTCGATTCGTCTCTACCTGTGTGCAAAAGGGGCGCAACTAATAAGCATTGCTACGGCTTCAGCTAGTTCGCAGTTTGTGTGCAATGCTCCGTTAGCATGAAACACCTGGACATGTCGCTCCATGTTCGACTATTACTAATTAAGGGCTAAATGTGCAAAGCTCGAAGATTTGATAATGGAGATGATGATTTGCTTCAAAGCCAACTCAATGCATGCATGTATGCATCTTATGGGGCATGTTTGGTTGAAAATAAAATTGGTGTAAATTGTAAAGTATTTTTATATTTTAAATATAGGAGTTTTGAAAATATTAAATTTTTTTTTTGATGAAAAAGAATGCAAAGCAAAATAAATATTGCAATCAAGCTATCATTTCACAACTCTTTGCCTGCCACCAATCTGGTTGTGGCCACCGTCGCCCAATGCCCTACTGGCCTACCCCCTCTCTTTTTATAATTTACTTCATCACTCATTTTAAAATAAATTTAATTATTTTTTACATATCATCAAAAATTACCTTGATCGAACACGAATCTTGAGGCAAAATCAAGTTGGAAACTTCAGAAATTAAATCAAGGATCATATGAATTTCGATTTCAGCAAACTTATAGTCGAATTGAGCGTCTCGGAAACACAGACCCAACGACACCAAAATCGACTCAATCCGAGCCCAAATGAGTCCAAATCATGGACCCGAAGCATTGTTGGAAGGTTCAAACCACAATTTGGATTACCAAACGGTTTCCAAACATAACAAGCTTATAGTCGAATCGAGCGGCTCGATGAGACGAATCCAACGAGCCCAAGATCACTGAATTCCGACATCACTAAGATATTCAAATGTCCATCAAACGGTTCATGATCAAAAGGATTTTTTTTTTTAATAATTATTTTTTATTTTTAATTTTTAATTTTTTTTATTAACTCCACTGTTAGGATCTTTCACTTGCCCCTCCATTGCTTGGATATTGCAATTTTGTACATTTCGATTTAACACTGTAAATCAAGTAGTCCGACCACTATTGCTCTTTCATTGTTATCTGACTACTATCACTTGACCATCACCTCCCGTTTGTTTGACCGCAATCGCCTAGTAGTCGTAACCATCATTTTCCGACCATCTTTGTTCAAACATTATTGTCAGATTAACATATCTTATTATAGTCGTTATCATTGCACTGCATCGCCGACATTTTCCGCCATACTTAATAGGAACTTTATACTGTGATACATATTTTATAATCTCGAATTGTCCAATTGAGATGAAGAGCATACTCATACAATCTTATTGACCAAATGAAAGGTTTCAATTTGGCAATGTCCCACGTTCGGTTTTCAAATTTTTCGTATAAAAATTTTAATGTGCCATATATTCGTACCTATTATAGTTTTGTGTGCAAGATCTTCGTTGTAAAATTAGGATGCAAAATATTTACTCTATTGTTATAAATTTTCTTGCACCTAACAATCAATTACCTTTATTTGGATATCTTTCCAATGTATTCAAATTCTTTTGATTAATCACTTAGTCATTAAAAGACCATAAAAGGCGAATTCACAAGTGCACTTCCATCTTTAATTAGGTTGCTTATGGAAATTAACTTGATGGAAGAATTTATCTCAAAGCATTAGTAAATGCATAGACATGAGACTAAGGTTTTGTTTGCGACGATTTTTTTACTGTTTTTTAAAGCAGTTTTTATTAAAAGAAATAAAATTTTATACTTGAAAACTGCTTTAAGAAGCAGTAATCTTTCCAATGTATTCAAATTCTTTTGATTAATCACTTAGTCATTAAAAGACCATAAAAGGCTAATTCACAAGTGCACTTCCATCTTTAATTAGGTTGCTTATGGAAATTAACTTGATGGAAGAATTTATCTCAAAGCATTAGTAAATGCATAGACATGAGACTAAGGTTTTGTTTGCGACGGTTTTTTTACTGTTTTTTAAAGCAGTTTTTATTAAAAGAAATAAAATTTTTATACTAGAAAACTGCTTTAAGAAGCAGTAATCCCAAACGAAGCCTAAGGCTCTCTTTAGGAAAACTTTCTTATTACTTTCTAAAACAACTTTCTAGTACATTTTTTTTAAAGATATTTTTATGCTAAAAAGATGCTTTAAAAAGTAGTAAGAAAGCTGTCCCAAACGAATTATAAGGCTTGATTTGAGATAGATTTTTAATTGCTTTACTCTTCAGATCATAACCACAATTTATATGTTAGAAATTACTTTTTCCACTAGCTTTTAAAAAAGTTATTTTCTCCATAATAACTTTACAATCATCTTTATCAAAAGTTATAGCCATCCCAAACTAACCCAAATCCTTATTTAATATTGACAATTATAAATACATAACTTCAATAATTCATTTACATACCATAAATATTAAATTAATAAATATTTATCGTAAGTCATTCAATTTAGCTTTCACATGGAAAAATAAGTTCCATGAACATTTAGTCGCATGGTCTGAATCTTTGAAGGAAGAAAACAGCAACATTTGCAGTTTCTTTATTCAAACCAATGCTCTGACCAAACTGATATAGTCTTGTAGAAAACATTCGATCCTTCCATACTATTTTCATTGAACAAACTCGCCACAGTGAGATTTGTTCAAGTTCCTGAAGTTTCTCGGTCTGTTTTCATGTATTCAATCGGCTGCCATAGTTGAGCTTCAATAACTCCTAAGTTATTCAAATGCACAATAATCTCTAATACTGAAAGATAAATACAAGTATAAGATTAATCAATTAATTTCAAGAATCAAGAAATCCTATTCAGTCCTTTAAAATCCATTGTATCAACGCACTCAAATTTCCCACTGAATGAGCTCATCAACTTGAGCATCTCACTGGCCTTCTCCTTTGTCGATTCACTGCACCCAACTTGCAGGAGCAACAGCATCTTCTGAAACACCCCTACTTGCAAGCATTCCACCAGACAATTACTCTCTTTACAGTTCTTGCAAACCTTCCACAATACAGAAACCGCAAATTCGGTCGCCATATCTGAAACTCGAAACATCTTCTTCGCGAGCACCGGTATCGTAAGCGCGTGCTTGCACGCCTTCTCTCTCCCTAACTTGCAGTTGCAGAGCGTGTCGAGAATGACAAGTGCCTTCTCAGTCATGTTCTTATCTGAGTCCACCAGAATTTCTAATGTGGAATGAAGTAGACCCAAATCAACACATTTTTTTGCTATTTTTTCATCGTCGGAGATGAGGTAGAATATTGCTGCAAGGGAGGCCTTGGTTGCCTGTGTCGAAATAGGCTCTTTAATGAACCCTGTCAATGCTTCAATAAGAGAAACATGGTTTGCCAATGCCTTTGCATGGTCTTCTTTTGTCGACGCCATCTTCTTCAACATTAGCACAGAGTTAAGCCTGCTGCTAATATCTCCATGCTTCATGATTTGCACAATTGAACTCAATGACTCTGAAGTACCTAATTCTCGCATTGTGATCTCATCTTCGAAAGGAAGTAGACATACTAATGTGGTTAAGATTTCTCCTAAGACTACAAGAGCTTCAGGATTACACGCTCTAAATGTAGAAGCCAACTCAATTGGTGCGCCAATTGATAAGAAAGATCGACGATTTCGCTCACTCTCTTTTATCAAAGATCTTAGTTTTCTGACTAATTCCAAACCAAGTTCTTCATCTTGAAGCTTAATGGCTACGGAGAAATCTGATAAGATCTGAAAGGCATCAACTTGGCTAATAGGAATTCGAGGGGTTGGGATTCTCTCAACTCCATGGGATCGATTTGAAACACACCAATCCTGAATCAACCTGCGAATTGTGTGATTGGGGATGAGGCCATGGCAATTGAGAGCAAGGTTTGTGACAGGACAAGTGGAGTTCCCCATTTCAAGCCATCTCTCAATGCTCTGTCGATCGTAGGTGATGCCGGTCGGCGCTGTCACGGGGTCTTTCATGAGATCGAGTGAAATCGGGCATCGAAATTGATCAGGGATGGAAAGCTCAGTAGCAACAACGGGAACGGTAGTGGAGGATTTGAATTTGCTGTTCTTAGATGCTCTGGCCTTCCTTGAGAAAGCCATGGAGGGACCTTTGATTGCTTCTAACGGAGCTGAATTTCGAAGGAGAAAGGGGGAAAGGGAGAAGGGGAGAAGGGGAGAAGAGAATGAATGGTTCAAAGGGGCAGGTGAGAAGTGGAAGGTTATAAAGGGGTGAGTTGGATTTGAATGCTGACCGTTGAAGTTTGAATGTGAAACCGCGGTGAGGAAACTTTAACGGGCTTCAGAGTCGTTAATCAGGAATTGAACCGGTCGCTGATCCGGCAAGGAGGTGGACCGGGCCCTGTCTTTTTGGTTTTTTAAGTAACAAGAATTCAGAAAATTACAACTTTACTGTATAATATTAGTATTTGGGAGAAATGTTTAATTAATTTGGTCCACTCTGACAACTTTACTTTACAATTTAATGATCAGATTAATTAATTAATCAAATTACAACTAAACTTTGGAATAATATTTTATAAAGTAAGATATAGGATATGTTCATGCAAATAAGTTAGTAATTAATATATATATAATGATATGTATTGAATAGGCAGATTCTTCAATAGTTGACTGTTGAATCATCGGTTCAGGATGGTTCTATGTTAGGCTGGTTTTTCAAACGGACTGAAGTAGTCATAATCGATCTACTATTAAACGAGTTGAAGCGGCTGGTCTGATTCGGTTTTCAAAACACAAGAAATCTTCTTAAAACCTCCTAAAAAATAATAATTTTATTTATGCACAAAAGATATATTTTTATTAATCAGAAATTTAACGAGCCGTTATATATATATATTAATATATTAATGACATTAATATAACTAGAAAATGCAGAAATAAATTAATTCAGTTGATTAATTAAAAAATATATAGATTAGGAGAAATTGAGACCAAATTATGAAAAGAAAATATATCCACAACTATCATAATATTCAACGTAGGAAAAATTATTAGGCACAGTGAACTATGTATGAATAACTTAAAAAAAGATTATGAAAACCCTTAGAATGGACGCAGAAATTATTATTATTTTTCGCTAAGGGCGGGAATAAAATAAGCAAGCTATATTAAATATGAAAGTAATTTTAAAAATTCATTCTAACGTTCCGAATTTCCTGTTGACTCTAAAAGATTGGTCAAAGATTGACTTGGAACATTGAACGTGGACGATTCACGATAGTATTTTTTTTTTTTTTTTGAAAGTTTGGGGGACTCGGAATGGGAAACCACATCAAACAAAACAGATAAACTTCATGTTGTGGAGCCCCTTGATTGCTAGTAATGATCATCCAAATTGAGAGAGATTATTCTGTGCAGACACTCAGGATGGAGTGAACCATTTGATTTTTTCTCTGTCTATAGTAATACATGAAAGTACAGTCAAAGCGCATTTACTGTAACAGCTGTGCTCTGACTCTACTTTTACTGTAAACAGAGAGACGGTTTTCTCCGTCCGGGTTTCACATAGAATAAAAAGTCCCAAATTGCTGGAGCAAGGTTCCGAGATAATATGACCTTCGAAGGGAAAATTATTACGTGCGGAGTCCAAACACAAAGCTACTTCCAGACTCTCTTGTACATATGCTTTCTATAATTGTACAAATATATAAAAAAGAGTGTACACATATTATGTACATAATTGTACACATATATTGTATACAACTGTGCACACAGTGTGTACACACATTTCTATATATTATGTACAAATTAATGCACACAACGTGTACAAGAGATTTTGAACATAGCTCCCTTGTAATGGGGAAAAGTAGGTTGATGTAATCCATTCCTCATAGTCCACTTTTGCCCAGGAATCATCGAAATTGCTCAAAATCATCGACCCATAGCAAGACAAAAGAAAAATATTCAGAGGAGAAGAACACAACCAGCAGCTACAGCTTACAGGGACCAAAAAGGGTCCATAAAAATGCCCTCCAAAAAAGCTCAATGCTCCACGAGAAAAGCTTAGCAAAAGAGACAAAGCCGAGCGCAAACAAAACAGAAATGATGCAATCATAAACCAAAAGGTAACAAGGGAGAAAAATCAGAAAGAAAATCCCCACGCAGCAGAGCTTAATCTCCAGTAGAATAGCGTAATAAGCGCCATAATTCTTCCAAGAACAAATTTTGAGGTGCATTGCTTTCTTGACTTTGCAGCAGATAGTGGTAGAACTAGCAATATTTGAACCAAATTTCCTATCATTGCGTTCATGCTAGGGAAGATATATACAGCAGGCAACAAGAAAGCTAGCATCTGGTAGAAATTTTTGGAAGTAGAATTTAAGCCCCAGGCATGGCAGATAGCAGTTGGAAAAGTTGTAGAAGATTAGGCCTCAAGAGAAAGAAACTAGCTCAGAGAAAAAGATGTGACACCTCCTAATTTAAATTGGAAATATCTTTATATTTTTATAATAATAATTAGAGCTATGTAATTAAAATACTAGTATAAACAAATTAATTATTGATCAAAATATTAATATGCATCTTAATGGAAAAAGACCAATTGTAAATGGTCTAATAAGCTTTGACGCAAAGAGCTAATTAGTCTCAAACATAATTCACAAAAGAAATTGACCTAAAAAATTAAACTATGGGTGATGATTACCGATGCGTCATAAAAAATTGTCTTGATAGAGCATGAATCTTGATCCAAATCTAGATTGGAATATTTCAAAATTGAATTTGGGATAAATTAAACTCTGATTTCAGCAAGCTTATAGTCAAATTAAACATCTCAAGGAGACGAAGCCAACGACATCAAATTCATTTTGATCTGATCCCAAATGAGCCTAAATCAAAAGATCACTAACATGCCCTTAATTTTTTCCATAATTACAAGTCATGCTACTTCCAAAAAATTATCAATAGCCCTCCATTCTTTACATGAGGGGGGAGGAGAAGAAAAGATAAGGCGCTTGAGATCTCTCTAGCATTTTCAATTCAATGCTGCCACCTTTGGAGTTTTTTTCGACCACTGATCACGATCGGACTTCCACCCATTCTCGTAGTATCACCAAAATTCTTCTTGGATGCTATCAATATTAATTGGATCTCCTCCCAAATATTGTCACTCGCTGACTATGATCGTTCTGATCACCATCGATCGACTACAACCCTTTTGGCCACGATCGCCTGCCTATTACAATCTTTTCGACCTTCGTTGCCTGTCAAATAACGTTCTTCCAACCACCATCACATGTCGATCAAGGTCCTTTCGATAACCATTGTCGACCAATTACGGTACAGCCCTTCTAACGACAACCACCCCCTGACTGTGGTCCAACTGACCAAATACATATTTGAACACTCTCTTAAGAACCACTGCTATGTAATGCATTCTATATAATGTGTATTTGCTACATTGAGCCAGCAGCCTCCTCCAAGGAGGGGAATTATTCGTAATCCACCATCAATACAAGTGGATTCATTCAAACTGGGCCTCGTGGGTGGTTTTTTCCCTTTTCAAAAATTTTCACGTAAAATTCTTGGCGTCACTTATGAATACTAAACCCTATTTTTTATATGTTTGGGTGTTGGATCTTCATACAAAATTAAGATGCTAAACTTTATATATCTCTACCTCCGTAAATATTTCAGCACACAACACGAATATATTTGCAATCGAAACTCCAACACATCACTTTGATGATAAGAGTATCACAAAATCTTTTCACCATAAATAGTAAGGTCAACCAAGGAAGAGCAGCCCATTTGAACAACATCATAATCTTATAAACAAAAGATGAAAATTACACCTTTTGAACTTCATCCAATGCACAAAATAGAGTCTTACCTTCAGGATGAAAAATCATAGAGCATATTGCTCAGCTTGAAGAACAAGGGTACTAAAAGCAGGTACAACATATCAATAAATTTGCATTTGTAGACCCTTAATATCTTAAGAGCTATTTATTATAAGCAAGAACTTCCAGACGGTCAGGATTTACTTCAATTTAAAGATATGAAAAGTTAAGATTATTTATGGGAAGAATTACAAGTTAACAATATAATAATTAGTATTGAAATAAATATATATTATAAATTAGTAATATTTTTATACTAATTCTATAACTTATATGTAAACTAATTTTATGTTAAATGTGAACTAAATTTAAAAATTCATATGTTTAAATTTAAAGTTTGAATAATATATTATTTTTGTAAAGAATTTATTTATATTTAATTATAAATTTTAATTATCATATAATTTAAATATTTATTATATCGTCGGATTCAACTCCAATCAAAATATTAATGAATCTTAAAACTTTATTTCTTTCTATCTTTTTCCAGTCCTATTTTACAATCTTGATTTTAGCTTTTTATAAAAATAAAATACTTGATGGGCCAAGGCCATGCCCCAAACACTCCCACTACATATCGAAAAATTATTACTTGCGGTGTTCGGAAGAGTCCGGAAGTCAATCCGGGCCACGCCATCCAATATATAGTGTATTGAATAAGGTGGGGTGTTCGATTGGCCTCCACATATGTTCCGACTCCACACAAAATAATCTGTCCTACAAATCTGTTGACGAGGATCAGCATGATTATGATCAGGGACTGTGGCACATGAAATCATGAGTGTGATTGCCAAAGACTTTGCAGACATCGCAAGTTAGGAGAATTACTAAGAATATTGAAATAAATTTGAGATGACAAAGCATTTAAATTTTTTAATTTAAATAAACTTAAAATTCATAAAAAAATGAATATTTTATGACATCTTAAATTCCTTACATACAAATACAAGTAAAATTTATAAACTCCTTTCATTTAACACATATAAAACATTAACACGTACAATACATGCAAGCTTAAGACAACCAGATGGCCGATCTTATCAAGTTCAAACTTTCAAACAGTTCGAATCTTTTTACAATTACTAATAGAAACAGTAACATACATTAAATACTGTTCTGTTCCTGGGAATCCAGTCTTAATCGAACAGTAGAACGTCCCACAGAAGAATCAATCAACCATCCACAAGAGCACTAAGTAGCGCAAGAGCATTACTAGTATACTTCTCCAACCTCCCAACCTTTGCAAGGAACCGCTTCACCGACGAGCCAGCGCCGCCTCTGAAGTCATGAAAACCGTCGATGCAGGTTTCTTCATTAGTTAGGGCAGCGCTCATCCACGTCTGAGCGTTGGATGCATCCCAAGAAAAACTCGACCCGCCCGACTGCGCCGCCCGCCCAAGCTTCTGAGTCTCCGCCACCGACTGCTTGGTAAGATACGCTGCAGTCCGCAGCAAATCAACACAGTCACGAAGGGCCGCGCTGGCCCTGCCAGTGCTGCCTCGCCGCAACACCGCCGCCTGCAAAACAGCTTCCTTTATCTTGACTAGGCTGACGTCCGCCGCGGCGACGGCGACTGTTAATGGGCTCTGCTTGACGGTGGTTGCGTAGCGTTTGAGGGAGGTGTAGCAGAGATTGGGGTAGAGGGTTACGGCGCAGCTGCGGCTGATGAAGTCCGTGGAGTTCGTCGTGGCGGAGACCGCCGTGGGCGAGATGGCGGTGAGGACTACGGCGAGGAGGAGGAGTAAAGATGCCATTGCATGAGAGAGGTTAGGTTTTCGGTTTGGCGGTGAGGAGGATTTTATAGGGGAAGTTAGGGGACTGTGGGTCGATGAGGGAAATTACGGAATTGCCATTGGATGAATACTGGTTGTACACGTGTATGGAGGAGATGTAGGTTTGTAGAATGTGGATTAGAATCTGATGGCATTAGATGATTTTTAATTTGTTCATGTGGAGAATAGGTATATTCCGTACTCAACATGATCATAATTTTTTTTTGTCAATTGTTTTTACGGTTCCTCAGTCATTCGAGATGAATGTTATTGCGTGTTTGAATATTTACGACGACTATATTAATTTATTCTGTCATGTTGTAACAAAAGAATTACAAATCAAAATGAAATTGTATGGCTGCTTACATAGATGACGAATGATGATATATGATAGATTTTAATGTCACATGATGATGGGATGTCGTTGATAGTCGAGGATGGATAACTATTGTGATCGATGAAAACCATCAGCATCTGTTGATGGCGAATGCTAGGTGGCATGTGGAGTTATGGATTTCTATGAGTTTCATAGCATTCTCCTTGGATTCCTTTGAAAACATATATAAATATTTCATATTTTTACAATAAATTAGAATAATCTTTGAATATAATCCTCATAGTTATCAATTACTCGTTCTCTAGATTTGATCATGATCCCCTCAAAGTCATTCAATATGAACTTGAGCTAAGCTCTGCCTGATAATCAGAATAGTTTCGATCTTGTGCTAAGCTATGCATGATATTTTATCTGAAAAAATATCTATTGATTAAAGAATTTCACCTGATTAAATTTATTAAATAATTGATCAAGATCAAAATATTATAATTAATATGATGAGAAGATCTAGAAATCCTAATTTCACCAAGTAACTATTGCAACAAAATTATCTCAATGATAGTAGTCAGTAGAGGTCATGTCATGATAGTACTCAACTTTCATGGATGATTGAGAACTTTATTTATAAGAAAATAATGAGAATAAGATGACTCTCAAAAAAATTTAAAAAACAAAATCTCAATCTCTCTTAATAATTAAAAAAAGTCTATGTACAATCTAGCTTAATTTCCTCATAAAAACCTTATCTAATAACAAAAATTAAAACCAAAACTAAACATGATGTCAAATATATTTTTGAAATTTGTTGGGGTTGGTGGTTTGGAGAACGAAGTTAGTTGTGCTTTATCTCCTTATGCTCATCCTTTTTTTCCTCCTGTGTTATTACCTAATTGTGTTGAGGCTGTTAATGTGGCTGCTTCGGTTGGGGTTTCTTCTGCTGTTATTAGTGAGGATAGATCCCCTGCTGTGGATGTTACCGCCAGTTCGGGATGTCATACTAATGCTGATGGAGGTGTTGTTATTTCTGATGTGAATCCGGGCATGCCTATTCTGTCTAGCACTGTGATTGTAGAGCACGCTGAACCGATTCGGGTTCCTAATCTTGCTGTGAGGACGGATGGTCAGGGAAAGTTGGTGGACGTTCCAGTGAATGAAATTGGTTCCCAAGCGTTAATGGATCAGGTGGGGGGTTCGGCTAGTGTTGATGTTAGATTACATGAGGATTGGCTGTATAATTCGTCGGAATGCGATTCTGATTCTAATTCCTATTATGATCCAGGAAATGAATTTAGTATGGTTCGTGTTATACCTTTATCTGGAACTTCGCGTGGAAAATTTTGGAGTAGAGGTGGTAGAAGAAGATGATTCGGTTTTTTCTGTTGATTGGATTGCTCTTCGTTTCGATTGTTGGTTGCAGGGCAATGATGGGACCGGGGCTCCTCTCCTTGTCGCCTCCTTGTGGCAACCTTTACTGGATGGTCCTTGTGCGGTTTCGAGGTTGTTGGTAGCCTCGGTCATCTACTGAGCCCCCATTTTGTTTCCGGGGTTTTTCTTTTGTTTTGAGAGGTTTTATCTTTTTGATTTTTTTCTTCCCTGGCTCTAGCTGTTGTAACCGTTGTTTGTCTTTTATAATATATTATAATGTTTTGGAAAAATAATAAATAAAAAAACTAATAATTCTTGATTTAACTATTTAAGTTAAGAGAAAATGACGGAAAATATAATTTTAGATGCATACCTATTTTTTTAGAAATAAAGCAAGTTATATTTTAAAACACTCAAAATTATTCCGAGGCGTTATAAAAGTATTTTAAAAATAAAAAATATATGTCATAATCAGATGACGATTCTACCGTCACCATCATAAACCGATATTACTTAATAGAATGAAATATGAATATTTTGAAATATTCTAACTTTATTATTAAAATTTATTTAATCTTTTTTATATGAAATATCTAAAAAATTAAATTCAAATATCTTAAATTCTTTATAAATAAAAAATAAAAAACTTTTCGTATTTCCTTTTCTCTTACACATATGATATATCAAACCGTACAAAAAATAGAAGGCAAACAGAACCACAGGGCAAAAGGCTTCAATACGTTCCACAAGCTAGCTGAGAAGGTCAGAGTTGTAATTTGAGTCTTTTATAATTACCAACAGCAACAGTGTACTATATTGAATACTGTTCTGCGAGAGTTATCGAACAGTAGAACGTCCCAGCGAAGAAAGCTTGGGGATTAATGGTGGAGGAGGGAAATGAAGTGACGGAATTGCCATTGGGTGATCGGAGGATGGACTATTCTTTCTATTTTTTGTGCTTTGAATTTTGATTCGATTAGCTCATTCTTAATTTGTTCATGTGAAGAATTGGTATTCCTTAACTATTTTGATCATTAGTTTGTATTTAGTCAACTATTTAGATTTTGTTTGGGACGGCTTTCTTACTGCTTTGTAAAGCGGCTTTTTATTTTAAAAGTTTTAATTTGTTAGTAAAAAGCTGTTTTAAAAAGCAATAAGAAAGTCATCTCAAATATAACCTTAGTTGTTCAATAATATTAATACTTTTGCGCATTTGAATATTTATAGTGGTCATAGAAGATGAGCACAAATATAATTAAATTTTTGCGTAAAAATAAAAAACTTGGATGTTTTTTTTTTTTTCGAACAATTATGACAATTAAGATAAATTGACATACATATCATATATGTAAGACCCGAACAGAAGACCACTTAGCTGATAGTCAAAGTTTCAAAATTTTTTGAATTAAAAAATTTTCGTTAAAAAGCAGACTTCGGCTTCGTTTGAGACGACTTCGTTGGTGCTTTCTACAGCAACATTTTAGTATACTAAAAAATTGTTTTCAAAAACACTAAAAAAGTTGTCCATAGGGGTCTCAATTTCAGGTCAACCCGAAACTAACCCGTTTTTAGAGCGCTTCGAGTCCGGGTCAACCCGACCCGAATGACCAGGCGCCAATAAAAAATTACTAGTTTTTGCATCCAAAAACGGGTCAATCTCCGCTTTACTAGTAAAAAGGGTCAATCTCGGGTTGCCAAGTCAAAAACGGATTTTCGTATAAAAAACATGTCAATTTCGGATCAAAGGGTCAAACCGACCCTAACCCAATTTTTGAAATAGATCGAATTGTTGAACCCGATCCTGAAACAGGTCGGGTTCGAGTCAAGTTCCGTACACCCTAAACACAAAATTTTCAGATCGGGTTCGGTCGAATTTTCAGGTTGGGTCCAATATTGACACCCCTAGTTATCCTAAGCAAAGTCTTAAAAATTAATAAGAAAGCAGTCCTAAGTAAAACTTAAATCTGTTGATGATCGAGCAAACAATAATAGATGCAGCGTCACTCTGCAATACGCTACGAAGAGCAATGAATGTCGACAACAGTCGAACTTGATGGGGATGCAATAGTTGTTGTGATTGACGACAGCCATTTGTTGTGATCGACTGTGGATGTCAAGTGCATTTCTGCAACTGTGTGAAGTTCAAAATATCCTCCTCTGAAATTAATTATTCCTCGTGAGACATACAAAAATATAGCATATTGTTCGTTTAGACGAAAAAATTTAAATGCGCGCAATGGTTTCTCGGCCGGGGAATGCGGGGATGGATCGCCGGAAAAGGGCGTTGGCTTTCAAAGTTCTGCCAATGCGGCAAAACGATTCCATTCTTCGTTGAATCCTTTGACCGGTTTGAGGTTTTGTGTGGATGCATGGTTTTTAGCCATTTATTTGGATTATCGAAATTTTATTGTCATTTATGATGCCATGCATGAGACCCACCCAGCTAATGACAGAGCCGTGCCTTCTATTCAAAATTTGCTTACAGTACGAGTGCTGCTCCTGCTCGTTAAATATATAATTACCTAAGTTTTGTATGGGATAATTTTTTTATTATTTTTTATAATAATTTTTTAGTTAAAAAAAATTTGTGTTAAAAAGTTGTTTTAGACCCACTATGGTTTAGTTTGGTTGGTGGTTGAGTACAGTTGGGAAACCTCAACTCTTGCTCGATTTCCCTCGAGCGACAGCGCCTCTTAAGTGGGGACCAATCAAGTGCAGAACATGAGGTTTCTGACATGAGTGTCTCTTCGAAGTCAGCTGAGGATTAGTCACGCTGCCAAGTTCTATTTTGGGGGTGGGAGCGGGTGGATACTCCGTTCAAAAAAAAAAAAAGTTTTAGAAAATAATATAAAAAGTTATACCCCCTAAATTTCATTCTGGAAAATTTTTTTCTGCCTTTTTAAAATAATTTTTAGTACAAAATTTTCTAAAAAAATTTGTACTAAAAAAATGTTTTAGAAAGCAAGATAAAAGCTATTCAAGACAAATGCTTAATGGGTATGTTGTGTGAGGTTGCATTGTAAGCTAAGTTCTCAGGAGACAAATGATCTCAAATTTGTTATCCATTCGGCGAAAGCAACACAGAAAAAACGTGATATATTACTGACACGCATCTTGGCATAACTTTTGCATGGGAAATTTGGTCCAAAATGTTGAACATTTTAATATATACGAAAATCTTATCAAATAAAAATTCTATAGATTTAGGTTTTGTTTGGGAAGGCTTTCTTATTGTTCCTTGAAATAATTTTGTAGTACAAAATTTTAATTTTTATAATTAAAATCTGATTTAAAAACAGTAAGAAAGCCGTCTCAAACAAAGCATTAATAGATTATAAACAATAATGAAACCTTACCAATTATAAAAAATTAAAGTAGTTTTGATGCACCGAATGATACTCAGTAATAATATGAAATTTTATCTTTAAATATATATTATGTAAATATTTTATGTTGAATCATCTTCTATTTTAAACTATATTTTATAAAAGACTTAGTGGTCATTCAATTTTAATCCCATTTTACCTTTTTTATTCTACTTTTTAATAATTTTTAATTTCTTTTTATTAAGTAGTAGTTAGCTTAACTACAACCCAATAATTTATTTTGTATATTTTTTTTGGAACATTACAGTTAATTATGATAAATTCATATACACATGTATCTCATATGTGAGACTAGAATCTAAGACATTTTAATTGATAATCAAAACTCTCAACCAACAGATTAAGATGATCTATGTTATTATGTCATCTAATTAATTATTTTCACTATTAAATTTAAATGAGATTAAAATTTCATATCTATTAAAAATCGATGAAAGTCCATTGGCAAACCACTGATCCCTCCGCCCATCGCGAGCTTCTCCGCTATTCTTCACATGAGATCCTCATTTTCTATTTTTTTTTTTAACCAAACACTTATATTAAAGATAATGAAACGATTACAAACTACAATATTTCGAAAAGAAAAAGAACAAAAGAAAAGAAAAAACCAAACTAAAAGCGGGCTCAGTTAGTGGATGAGGCTCCCAGCACCACCAAAACCCGCCAGGACCGTCCAAAAGGTGGAGAAAACCCTAGCATAATCCATATCATTGGCAAGCTTAATTAAAACATTCGCTTGATCCAACAAAGTCACTGAAAACTCCCCAGAAAGTTTTAAGATAACAAAAAATCTATGAATGGAATCTAAAGAAGGACGCTTAAGGGGAAATCTCCCCACCAACGCAAACTCAAAAGGCTTAGCTAGATGCAAAAACTCTTCCTCCGAAAACCACAGAGAAGGCATTCCCCGATTCGAAGAAATACGAAATTCCGGAAAAACACTCGAATCACTAGAGCCAGATAGAGCATCCTTAAATGATTTAGGATGCTTACCCGAAAGGAATCCAGGATCAAGCAACTTTTTAGCCATCAAGAAGCGTACCGGCGGCAAGGAAGAGGCGGCGCTAGGGCAAAAGCCCTAAAAAGGCGAAACCCTAGCAGACGGAGAGACGGAGGGGACGTGAAATGAAAAAGCCGAGATCCTCATTTTCTATTGATCATTGATACTTCCTAAGAAAAATAAGGATGTTCTAATATAATTTATATCAAAATGAGCTTAAATGCTCTTTAATTTATACTGAAATAAGTATATATATATATCATAAATTAAACAAATTTTAGAATAAATTGAAAAGCATTTAAGCCTCTTGTTTGGGACGGATGTAATTTTTATAAAAATGATTGAAAAGCTATTTTATATGAAGTAATTTTTTTGAAAGCTACAATAAAAAATAGCTTTCATGCATAAATTTATTTGAAAACATTTAAAAAAAAAATTATTTGAAAACATTGTAAATATAGTAGTCAAATAAAACTATGATATAATATGTAAAGAAATATAATAAGAACATTGTACCAAATAAATCCTTAATCTCACATAATTCTTTTTCATGAATCTTTAGTCTCCGTCTCTTGTCATGCAATTTGATTTTATTCTTCAAAATAGTGCCTTAGGGTATGATTGGGATAGCTTTCTTGCTGCTTTATTTTTTACATAATAATCATAATTTTATTAAAATTAGCTGCTGCTTTCTCAATATTTTCAATTTGATGGAAATGTGTTTTTTTAACCAAATTAGCTAATTATTTTTACCACGGTAATTTTACAATCAACTTTATAAATTACAACAACTATCTCAAAAAAAAACCCTTAGCCTAATTCATTTTTCTTTTATGAACTCTCTTTTCTATTTTTTTCCAAGGTTATAAGGGATTCTCTGTGGGCGCAAATCCACGGATCGTCATTTGGGATAATTTTTTATCAATACATTTAAAAAAAAAATTGTATCAAAAATACTGTCCCAAACGAAGCCTCAAATGCGAGAAGATTCAATCAGAGGCATAATTTTGAGCTGGTAATATAAATTTTGCATTCATTTCCTTTTTTTTTTTCCTTGGCATAAATTTTTAGGTCGGGTCTGGGTCGGACTTCAGATCAGCCGGTAATATTGACACCCCTAACTACAAAATACTAAAAGTTGTCATAGTTGTCTTTTTATTACAATAATTTAATGCATCTTTTTTATTATTTTTTTGTAATTTCTAAAAATGTTCATATCCGAATTCCGCTTATGAAAATAACGACTTTAAACATGTAGATTTAAATTAAGGTAAGTTCCTAATCAAATGTCCCTTTTGTTTACGAAAGTGTTACTATTCAAATTTGCTTTGTGAACTAATTGTCATAGAAATCAACATCATTAAACCCACAAAAATCTTTACTTCTTATCCATCCGTCGGCATAACAATCACATGATGCATGTGATGCAGAGTTTGTACTATAGAACTTTAAAAATGATGTCCATAAAACATTAAAATGAAGGATAATTAGGTTTATGTACTTAGTAAAGCTTTTCATTTTTTCTAAATTTTGTATAAAGTTATTATATGTAGTGAAAAATATGAGTTGAGGTTTTATTAAGAATTTTGATATTTTAGTGTCAATTTTAAAAAAAAGAAGTAGGAGGCTCATTATTTTATATGAAGCCAAGATTTAAAGATTAGGTAGATAATTATTCCTTTTTATTGATGATTATAATTTTGATGGTAATTATTAAAATATTTAATTTAAGCCCATTTTATATTAAATTCTTACCTCTCACTTATAGGGTTTAGCATCATTTTTTTTATTAACTGCAATGTTGGGGTGTCAATATTTGACACAGCCCAAAACCTGACCCTGACCAGGCCCGAAAAATTTTTGGTTCGGGTTAACCTGTTTGACATATGGGTCGGGATCTAGTTGACAAAGTCGAACAGTTTTAAAAAACTGGGTCGGGTAGGGTTGACCCGAAAACCCGAAAATGACATGGTTGACTAGTTTAGAAAACCCTATTATGTTTTCTACATGTTTGTGTGTTGTTTGCGGGTTGCTTCAGGCTTCTGTGGCTTCCGTCGTCTACGACTTTCGCGGCTTCTTACTACCAACTTCCATAGCTTCGGTCGTTGGCCCGTCACAGTTCGAGTTGCTTCCGACTTCCGCGATATTCGCTGTCTATCAAGCTGAGGCGCCATCTTATTCAGCCATCCGTCTTTCGATGTCCTTCTCTGCCGTCTATAGTATGCATTCAAGCGGCCGTCTGCGATCCGCCAATCCACCAGTCCGCCTTCGATCAAAGCTCCTCAGCAAGGATCGAGAAACCTGCGCTCCACAGTTCACAAGCTTGTTTGCTTGTTTGCGGGTCGGGTCGGGTCAACCCGTAACCCTGCGGGTGGAGTCAGGATTGGATTTCCTTACCCGTTTCCAAAAATGTGTCGGGTTAGGGTAAAACTGTTTAGACTCTGATCAATTTGGGTTCGATCCAAATTTGACTCGTGGATCCATTTTGACACCCCTACTCCAATGGTTAAAACTATTACTAAAATCATTGTAGTAGTCTTATGACTGTTAGAAATTCATTGTATTTGTATACCCTAGAAGAACTGTCTGCAATAGTCTGTAAACAACTTCAAATCTTGACAATAGCAACTGCTTTAACCATCACAATTTTAATTCCGGAAAATATATCTGATGAAAAATCCATTAAAAATAATGTGGTCCATACATCATTCATTGAACTAAAATATCTATGACTAGGGGTTAGGATGGTTGCTAAGGATGGAAAAACTATTCATTGTGAAGGCCAGGTGCAGAACGCCGGCAGGAGACCAATCAAAATGCATCATGTCATCAGCGGCATCAAGCCACTGAACAGAGCGAGGGGTTGAGGTGGCTCATTCTGATTAATCTCCAAATGACATTTGGTGTCCGCATAGAATAAGTAATCCTAAGGATGATAGTGCATAAGAGAGCGGATAACTCTCATAAAAAAGGAATACACTGTTTGTGTCGAGAATGCGTTTGGAGATTATAAAGCATTGAAATTTATTTAATTTGAACTAATTAAATCTTTTGTGATATCCTGAATGATATATAATCATTCCAAAAATATATTTTCATGCCATCTCTTCCTAGTAGTTACATTTTTTTTTAAGATGTACAGGATCATATTTCCTCTTTATATCAAAAATCCGGAGCAGGATCGTCTGGAGGTTTCAGGCGCCAAAAGGGGACGTGCGATGGAGTGGGAGTGGTCGGGACGAAAAGTTATTACGCCCGGACAAAAAAAAAATGGAAATTCGGACATATACTGAGCAATACTGAGTGCTCGGTACTGAGCTCCAGGTGACGTGGCGCGTTATTATTGAACTCTGGACGCGTTCGGTGTCCGGACACAATAATTACTAGGTTGGGAGGGGTGTGCCGGCGTGGCCACAGATTGGAGGGCGTGGGAGCAGATGGGCAAAACGTGCGGGTGTAGCCACTCTTCACTAATAAATTTCTTGTAAAAATAATTTCATCCATGTTGCCTCATGTTAAATAGCTGAAATTTTAGAGTAAATATATTATTTCTTTTTGCTTACACGAAGAACACAAATTTAGACAAATATAGCCATGTAAATTTCTTTTTACAATTCATGGGGCGAGAAATTATTTTGTGCAGACACCTGAACAGTCTGAAGACTAACCAGAACGTACCATGTCATTCAATATATAACGGTAATGAGCACCAATATCAAACAATAAAAGCCGTAGCACATAATAATTTTTCACACACACCACTCGTCATTACCTGAGAAGACCAACTTGCAAACAGTTAAAATAATTTCTGTATAAGATATTTAACACTGTTCTGATTGTGATCATTTTGACGGGATAAGAGAGAATAAATTTTGAGGAATCCGGTATTAACCGTCCAAAGTTAATTGTACGGCTAGGATAACATTAACCACACAGAAGAACGTCCCACAGAGGAATCAATCAACCATCCACAAGAGCATTAAGCAGCGCAAGAGCGTTACTTGTATACTGCTCCACCCTCCCAACCTTCGTAAGGAACGCCGTCAACACCGCGGCGGAGCCGCCGCCGGCGTCGTTAAATCCGTCGATGCAGGTATCTTCATTAGTCAGGGCAGCGCTCATCCACGTCTGAGCGTTGGATGCCTCCCAAGCAAAACTCGGCCCGCCCGACTGCGCCGCCGGCCCAAGCTTCTGAATCTCTGATGCGGACTGCTTAGTCAACTCCGCCGCCGTCCCCAGCAATTCAACACAGTCACGCAGGGCCGCGCTTACCCTCCCCACGCTGCTGCGCCGCAACTCCGCCGCCTGCAAAGAAGCTTTTTTTATCTTGGCGAGGCTGACGTTGGCGGCGGCGATGGCGAGGGTTAACGGGCTCTGCCGGACGGTGGATTCGTATGGTTTCAGGGAGTTGTAGCAGAGTTGGGCGTAGAGAGTTACAGCACAGCTGCGACGGATGAAATCGGAGGAGTTTTCCGTGGCGGCGAATTCCGACGGCGAGATGGCGGTGAGGAGGACGGCGATGAGGAGGAGCAGGGAAGCCATTGGATGATAGGTTTGGTGAGCGGTTTGGGGTTGAGGGGCGGATTTTATATAAGAGGTAGAGGAAAATTGGGTGATTGGACTGTGGAGTATCCGGTCGGTTTTTTTATTTATTTTTAATATTAAAAAAAATTATTCGGTCGGTGTACACGTGTATGGAGGTGATTAGGTTTTTAGAATATGGGGTTACAATTTGATGGGATTAGCTAATTTTTGATTAGTTCATGTGGAGAATATTTATTAGGTAATCTTCATGAAGATTATCTTTAATCAATTGCTTAATTAGCTATTGGCAGGTCAGCCATTACAAGTGATTTTAGGTGCTCAACTATTTATAGTGTTAGATGAAATTTTTCTTTTGTTATTTGAAAATTCAACACATATTTTATAATTTATTGTGATTTATAATGGATATAAAATTTTTTACTTTTTGAAAATTTAGGTTTTACTATGTAAGTTAAAGTTTAGAAAGAGTTGTCATAAAATTAAAATAAACTAAAATGTCAGAAATAGTATAAATTATAAATATCAAGATTTTATCGAGTTTACTCGTATATGCTTTTATAAGTATTTATCAGGTAGCTGGTGGGTCAGAACAGAAGAACTCGCCCTCAAAGTGGGGCAACTTGGGGAAGTGTTCTGGTTCCTATTCATATCAGCAGTCACTAGTAAATTTGCCCTCATCTACTCAACGTCACTGAACTAGCCCAGAGGCAACTCACTGAAGCCTTCAGATCTCACCCTCTTTTAGCCAATTAAGATGTGACATATTTCTAAGATGTTATGTAGTCTTGTATGTTATTCTCAATTAATGTTATGCTTTTTTACTTTTTTCATATAACCCTCTTAATCCTATAAATAATGAGAGATGAAGAGGATCATGATATTTTTTATTTATAAAAATATATTTAATACTAACTTCTCATTAAAGTAAAATATAAAATTTGAACTTTATAAATAATAATTTTAATACTAAATAAATCATATATAATTTAAACAATTTTAATTATAGATAATACATAATGTATTAAATTTACTAACTAATTCAATAGGATGATACAAAGAACCGGCCAGACTGAACTATTAAAAAAGGAGCAATTTGTTATTATCTTCGTCTTTGAAAAAAATTTAAACTATCAACCAATAACTGTCGTCGTTGAAGTAAGATAATTAAAAAAAAAAATGAAACTGCTCGGCGTAGGAAAGCAGATGCATTTTTTTTTTGCCTGGAAATGCGGCGAGGGAGCGGCGGAAATGGGGGAAGGCATTGGCGTGCCTTTGTATAATTATTAATTATTATCGTTACGCTGCTAAAGAAAGACAATCACTACAAGTAAAAATGGGTATTTCTCACGGACAAAAGCCACCGGAAATATATGGAAGCTTCGAATTTTCTACGGATAGTGAGTGGACGGTAATGTATGTGTCGGAAATATTTTTGATGTGATATACTATTATTTTTTTCACTTTATTTTCTTTAAAATCTCTCTAATTTTATTTTACTAATACGATAATCAAAATAAAATTATAAAGTTTCATGTAGGATGTTAACGTCATTAAAGTTAATCGTATTCTTACAATCTTCATTAAAATATTTATTGAAATATCTCTTCCGTAACACGACCATCATTTTAAAACACGAACTACATATGAAATTAAATATATTACTATTGCCTATTTTCTATTTAATTAAAACTAGTAGTCTAAGAACACCTTTCTTATAATATTTATAATCTCTTTATCAACACTACATTACAACTTTTGATTTCATAAGCCCATCCCCTATTTCCAAACTTCTTTTAAAATTTTTTATGAAGTTAGTCATCATTACTAATTAAATAACCATGCAACCATTAATATATAGAAGTTCTGTTGTGCTCAACATTCTTTATGAATCAAATACTGATGTTGGTCCATAAACCATAACATTAAACTGGAGCGAACGGTGGTGGCGATCGATGGGCAACAAAGCGGAGAACGAGAGAAGATAGAAAGAAACAAAGCAAACTGAGAAAATACGAGCAAAGGGTCGCGAAGGGCTCAAAATAAGGCTTGCTCCAAAGGAATTTCCGACGGCTGATCTGCCGGAAACTTTTCGCCGGGTTTAAGTATAACCCGGTGGAAATTCTCCCAGACATTTCATCGGAAACTTAACGGCAGAAAACCCGCTGGTACATTTTGATGGTACGAACTTACCATCCACCAAAACGACGGATTAGCACCCGGTAATTTTCCTGTGATATATCTGCCCGGAAAACTACCATATTTTTTCTGGCTAAAAAAAAACCGGTTTGTCCACCAATATATAATTCTAGCGGACATATGTCCGTCAGAAATGATATTGGAAACTACAGTTTTTCTTGTAATGAATAGTCTTGATCTTAGAGTTTATGTTAAATATGATCGTAGAAAACTAACTTTTCATCATATATTTTTAAAAATTTAAAGAGAAACCAATAAAAACTAATTAAGTAACCAAACAAAATTATGAATGACATCTGAAAAAGAAAAGCAGCCATAAATCTATATCAAACATACCCTTAGCTTCATTTGAGATAATTTTATTACTGCTTTCTAATATAAAAAATATCTTAGAAGCAACGGAAAAATAGCAGCTAAATTTTTTTTCCAAACAAAGCCTTAGACTTCATATCATATAATTTTCTTACTATTTCTAAAACATCTTTTAGCATTATATTAAATTTTTTAAAAAATAAAATCATTAAGAAAATGTCTCAAATGATAGTTTCCATGGCTGTGATGGCCGCTTTTGCTGGAATTTGTTATCCTTTACTCTTGCCTATTGGGCAACCGGTGCCACCGCCTGAACTTCTCGTTTATGCTATCAGATATATCTTGATGAATGAGACTTGTCCTAAATTCTGAGTCTTTTGTATTGTCATATGTCCAATTTTGGCTTAGTTATAGTCTTTGTGTTTTTTGGTTAGGCTTTTATTTTCTTACTTTTCACAGGTTACTTGTAAGTTGTTTTTTTCTGTTATTAATATATGGACTTTGAGCCTCGGGTTTACCCAAAAAAAAAAAATGGCCACAACTATGTATGGTTGCACTGCCGGTCTGTTATGGTTTTGGCCACAACAGTAACAGAAGAGGAAAAACGTGATGCATCACACTTTGGCGTACCTTTACCGTGGAGCTTCGTTGCAGAATGCTGATAACTTTAATGGCCAAGTCCTGACCAAACAAAGCTTAATTATGTGGACTCAAATGGCTACAAGTACAGCTAATTTTCTCATGAAACAGTACTGATCATGGGATTTTTTTGCCTATTCATTCCATTATGATAGCAAAAAATTGGTCAGATATCGTAATCAAAATTTTATTAGAACAAACTTTACAGCTCTTAATCTGTTTTGAGATGCATGCAGATCCAACAATTATAAAATAAGCACTAATATTTTTATGAAGAAAATCGTAATCTTGTGAAGGCAAATAGGCAATGATACTCAGGGCCTCCAATTTTTTGGCTCTTGTGGGTTGCTTTTGAGTGTGATTGTGAACTGCATTGTTTTCTGCTGTAATTCAATCTGCTCCTTATATATAGGATTTGTTTGGACTTTGGAATGGGATTTTTATTATTTCTTAAAATAAAATTTTAGTATAAAAAAATAATTTTTTATACTAATAATTATTTTAAGAAGCAGAGAGAAGACCGTTTCAAACAAAAGTTTAGTGTTTTTTTAGCTTATTTTGCTCTTCCCTTTGTGCGCAATATGTTTTTTTTTTTTTTTCTGATACAATTGAGCTGAGGTATGACAATTATCATTATAAAAAACTACAATAGCCCCCTCAAATTGGAGAAATTATTCTGTGCAGTCAACAAACGGTCCGAAGGCGAATCAAGATGCATCACATGCTCCGGTACACATCTAAAAAGTGGCTTAGCGCGTTTTACTTCGCCTCCGAACGAAGTTCGATGACCACAAGGGCAAATTCAGCCTTAATTTTTAGGGGTGCAAAAAGTGTAGATATTTTTTTTGCCTTGAAGTTGATCGGCTCGACGCCTATTTGTTCATATCCTTGGTCATTGTACATTTTGCAGATATGTCAGGGCTCCAAGGGGGAAGCGCCCCCTGACAGGGCTCTAGGGGTCAAGGGGCAGCGCCCCCGGAACAATATTTGGTTGTAAAAATATTTTTATATTTTCTTTATTATTTCTCTTTGTATTTGATTCATTGTTTGATTATGTTGGGCAATTTCCTAAAGATTATAGTATTTTAAAACTTTTTAGGGGGGGCAATTTCCTACAAATTCATGTAATAAAAACTAAAAAGTAGATGTTGTGGGACAAATTACCTACATGATCATATAATAATTTTTTTAAAATTTTTTCAAGGGGGGGCAATTGCCCCCTCTGCATAAGGTGGATCCGCCCCCGGGCAACCACACATAATAATTTCACCTCAAATATGTCATAAAACTCTTATAAAAATATTTTGCATCTATTTTACAAATTTTGGACACTAAAAAAATAAAATCCACATATATATTGTTTATTTTTACACACATAAAGTACCAAAGCATATAACAGATAAAAGACAAACAGAACAATGCAATTTTCTCTTTACAAAGAACAAACTAATGATCACTCATCGCCTGAGAAGGTCAGAGTTGCAAACAGCTCGAATCTTTTATAATTACAATGGTAACTGTACCATATATTTAATACTGTCCTAGTGTCCGGATCTTGTAGTTCATTTTGGACGGATAAGAGAAAATAAAGTTCGATCAATCCAATAATCTTAATCGTCCAAAATAAAATGAACGGCTTAGCCGCACCTTATAACCCACAGAAGATTCATCCAACCACAAGGGCGTTGAGCAGCGCAAGAGCGTTACTAGTATACTGCTTCACCCTCCCCACAGTTCCAATAAATACCTTCACTGCAGCGGAGCCGCCGCCGCCGCCGACGTCGTCAAAACCGTCAATGCAAGTATCTTCATTAGTGAGAGCAGCGCTCATCCACGTCTGAGCGTTGGATACCTCCCAAGCGAAACTCGGCCCGCCTGCCTGCGCCGCCGGCCCGAGCTTCTTGATTTCCAACGCAGACTGCTTAGTCAGATCCGCCGCCGTCCGAAGCGATTCAACGCAGTCACGCAGGGCTGCGCCGGCCCTCCCCGTGCTGTTGCGCCTCAACCTCACCGCCTGAAAAGACGCGCCCTTTATCTTGGAGAGGCTGACGTTGGCCGCGGCGACGGCGAGGGTTAACGGGTTCTGATTGACGGTTGGTGCGTAGGGTTTGAGGGATTTGTAGCAGAGTTGGGGGTAGAGGGTTGCAGCGCAGTTGCGGAGGATGAAGTCGGTGGAGTTTTCATTGGCGGCGATTGCTGCCGGCGAGATGGCCGTGAAGATAACGGCGATAAGGAGGAGCAGGGAAGCCATGCGATTGGTGATTGCGTTAGCGGTTAGCGGGTGAAGGGATTTTATTTGAAAGGTTGGAGGGGTGGGGTGGCGATGGGGAAATGACCGACGTGCCATTGGCTGATTGGGAGTGGACCATCTGGTCGGTGTACACGTGTATGGTGAAATGTGACTTTGTGCTTTGGTTGATTTGAGGGTTTAAGATTAACTAAATATTAATTTGTTTAAGTCGAGAATATGTTTAACGGAGTCATCATTATCATTAATCAATTTTTAGTCGATTGTTTAAACTATTAACTATGCTAGGTCTTTCAAGAATTATTATTTCGTTAAAAATTTAGCATGGTTGCAGGCTAGAATGTATGCGGCGGTAGAGTTAGAAAATTTTCGTTTGAGCGTTGTACGAATATCTATCACACATAAACAAAAGACAAAGAACACAAGAATTTTCATGTAGAAAACTCTGAAAAGAGAAAAAATCACGGGGTCACGCCCAGTTGAAAAGTTTCACTAGTGTAGTTTGAGATACAAGAGGCGGATTCGTCTAACAAGTTAGGACGATCAGATTACAATGAGTTTCTTCTGAATTGAAATTCAGTTACAAAGTCGAGAAGAGTTCCGACTTCGCTCGGGCGTCTGGCGGGATTCTGGTGTCGTTCTGACGATAGGAAGAACTCCGGCGGTGGTCGAGGAGTAGCTGTTCTCTTCTCTCCTTCTCTTCTCTTCTTCTTGCTTGGGTCCCTCCTTATAAGAAATGAGGGATCTATTTATAGTTTTTATGGAGTGGCATAGCTCGTAAATTGGTGTGAGATCAGGGGCAAATAGGGAGTGGCCGAATGGACGACTGATATTGAATCCTTCGATCGTGCACCGTTCGTTGGACATTTGAAGGCCTTAGTGATGTCGAAATTCAGCGATCTTAGGCTCGTTGGTTTCGTCTCGTCGAGCCGTTTGATTCGACTATAAGCTCGTTAAAATCAAAGACTGTTGGTAACTCAAATTGTGGTACAAGCTTTCCAACAGCACTTCGGGCGCTTGATTTGGGCTCATTCGGGCTCGGATTGAGTTGAATTTGATGTCGTTGGGTTCATATTTTCGAGACGCTCAGTTTGACTATAAGTTTGTTGAAATCATAGTTCAAGCTCATGTCACCAGTTCAAATCTGGTTCCTGTGATCCCGGATTTACTTTTTGAAGTTTCCAATTCGGTTTTGCTCCGAGATTCATGCTTGATCAAAACATTTTTTGGAGAATATATCAAGCATATATTTCAATAAGTAGATTTGTCTTTCATGAGGTGTAAGTTTTAGAAGGATGCGATTTAACTCAATTGAAATGTTGAACATTATCATCGATATATATGGCTTAATTTCTTTATCCTCATGGAAAGCATGATTAGAAATTGAAATGATGGGTGTAACTGATGGGCAATGATGGATGACAAATATTGATATCGTGCATTCAACGGGCGGTGAGTAACCATTAATAATTGATGTTGACGATGATCATGATGAGAGTCAGTGATGGATGTTGATTATAGTTGATGACTGATTTCAGGTGGTAGACAGACTTATGAAGCTCTTAGAATTTTTTAAATTTTCTTGTGTATAATTCTCATTAAACATCCTTGCGTAGGCACTAGAATAGAGCTTATAACCAACAGAACGTATATTAAAGGCATCAAAATATTTTATGACACAGACATTCCTTTTACTACTATTTGTTTCAAATCTAAATGTTGGAATATAAGTTTTTGAAAAAACATAATTTTTCTAGGTTCTGTTTTTGTAATTGAATGTTTGAGTTGAAAGGTTTTTGGTATGAGCTTTTTGTTTGTTAGAATTGAGATTTAGTATTAGGATTGATTATTAGCATTTGATTTTATTCTTGAAAATCCTAATGAAGTGAATGCAAATTTTAACAATGTTATCTCTACCAATTAATGTAAAAATACTTAATTTTAGGGTTTTTGTAGGAGCTTTTGTATGTTGGAATTATGGTTTGATATTCTAACAAGTTAGTGTACATGAAATTGAATGAAATTCATTAGATGCATAATGTTGTTATGTAAAAATACTAAAATATTAGTATTGTTTACTTGTTTTATTGGTTGTAAAATAAATATAAATAGAGCTCGATAAAAGGTATGCATAACTCCCCCAATGCAATGTTGTTTGGTCATCCTGTGCAGGAACTTGGAGCCGTAGGATGGCCTGACTGTCTCGTGCGAGAATCTGGAACCGCAAGGTTTGTCGTTTGGTGATACTTTTTGAATTACAATTGATCTCCGCTTTTTAGGTTACTTGTGAAATATTTGTTTATGTTTTATAGACTTACTTGATGCCACATTTGTATTATATTTTATTTGTTTATGCTTTATAGACTTAGGCTTCGTTTGGGACGACTTTTTTATTGCTTTCGAAAACGGAGTTTTAATACAAATTTTTTTTATTTTTGTACTAAAACTCCGTTTTAGAAAGCAATAAAAAAGACGTCCCAAACGAAGCCTTAGTCGACACCATGTTTAGGTGCATTGATTAGCTTGATATGAAATGAAATTTAGAGTGAATGCATTAGAGGAAAATTTCTCATTCATTTTATAATTTCTAATAATATTATTATTTATTATATCATCCGGTTTGACTGGTCGAACCGTCAGTCGAACCGTGAACATCTCATTCTTCTGATTCGTAATCTGGTCCGACTTTCAAAGCTTTGCTTAGAGTATTTCCTTTACACGACATATTTTTTTAACCAACCAAACAACCCTTAAATAAATCTCAAACGTTATAAAGTTGCACATAGATGATGAACGCACTTTCCATCAAAACTCAGCTGGAATGACATGAAAAGCTTGATCCAAAGCTGGTAAACTGTACTCTGTGTGGCGAAAAAGAGTCACATTTATTGGATCTAAGCTCCTTCCTTTCACATATCAATCTCCAAAATCTATTGTGTAGCCTTTTGTATAGCTAAATTGTCCATTATGGTCCTTCCCAGCTACCCGTGATATGTGTTGCTGGTTTGCTTTTGTCTTCTTTCACCTTACACAATTATTCGCTACAATATTGGAACGCACCTTTCTCTTATAAGCTACATTTGGCTTTTTCATAAGCCAAACTTAATTAGCCATAGACACATGCTCATCCGCATCAATCAACTTCAAAGCTTATAGATAATATTAACGCTTTGTTTGGGACAGCTTTCTTAATGTTTTTTAAAGCAACTTTCTAGTACAAAAAATATTATTTTTATACTAAAAAGGTGCTTGAAGAATCATTAAGGGCATCTCCAACCGACCTCCAAACGCTTGAATGGAGCTCCCGGCCAGCTCCAGCCGAACTGCAAAATTTCCGCAATTCCGCTATATGGCTGCGGGTGAACAGTGGGACGCCAATATTGGCGTTGCACTGTTCATCTCCGCCATTTTTACCACTCTACCGAACTTGTCGCGGGAAAAAAAAAGAGGCGACGGTTATCTGCAAAAGGGTGAAAAACGCGTTCCATTGGAGATGAAATCACGGCATTTTGTAGTTTCCGGCATTTTGGAGTGAAAAATGAGATTTTCGGTTGGAGATGATCTAAGAAAGCTGTCCCAAACGAAGCCTAAGGCTTCCTTTGGGACGATTTTTTTTACTGTCTCTTAAAGCAGCTTTCTAGTAGAAAAAAAATAATTTTTGTGCTAGGAAGCTGCTTTAAGAAGCAATAAAAAAAAACTGTCTTAAATGAAGTCTAAACAATTCGGATGACCATTGACATCAAATTAATTATTTGTTCATTTATAGATTTAAATTTTAATTGTTATTTAAGAAAAATCTGATTATGATTTGTTGTAAATTTTCTAAAAACCATTCAGTCATTTAAATTAATGCATATCATGGATGTCATGTTTCTCAACCATAAAGCAAATTTTGACTTAAATTTCCTTATATTAATATGCAAGTATTTAGATTATATGAGAAAATAATTACAAAATGTTGAGCCTTTTTTAGTATTCATGTGAGGGCTAATTAAATTTAATTTTTGTGATTATTTACATTAATTTTATATGTATAAAATTTATGATTATGTATTCAATTCAAAATTAAAAAATTGAGCAAAAACTTACTATGTTTAAGTAATTTCTATATATTTTTAAGTTTTTTTTTTTTATTTTTTCGTTGATTTCTTAGTATAACTTTGCATAGAATGGTGAGGACATAGTTTTATACCTGATAAGGTTAGAGTAGCTCCATCGCTGCCAAGACTGTTGGACCTAGTTTGCCGACGTTCGCCGTCTCAGTCGCCGACTTCGTCCACTAAAATGTACTTATATAAATATTGTAAAAAAATTTCAGGGCCTGAAATTTTTTTACAATATTTATATAAGTACATTTTAGTGGACGAAGTCGGCGACTGAGATAGCGAACGTTGGCAAACTAGGTCGAACAACCTTGGCAGTGATGGAGCTACTCTAACCTTATCAGGTATAAAACTATGTCCTCACCATTCTATGCAAACTTATACTAAGAAATCAACGAAAAAATAAAAAAAAAAAACTTACGGTGGATTTTTCTGAAAACTATGGCGTTTCGCTGGCAACAGAGGCGATCAGCATCGGCGAACTCTATGGAAGTCTGAATGGTCTTGGCAATGGCGATGTTCGGTGGGGCGATGCTGGGGCGAAGGAGGTGAGCGGAGAGCTAAAAGAAATGATAGAATGAAATAAAAAGCCAGACGTGCTCGGGTTTGAAATAGGGCTTCCACTGATGAATTTTCAGGCGAAATAGACTCCGGAAGGCTTTCCGTCTGTTTTTGCGACAATAATATTTCGTTGTGTTTAAAATGACCGGCGTCCTATCCGTCAGTACAAACGACAGAAATTTCTGGAGTAAAACGTGTCGCATTATACAATATGATTACATATTACGACGTATAAACCGACGGAATCGGCGTCGGAATATTTCCGGCGTCATTTCCGCCGGTAACTCCGCCGTAATATTACCGTCGCATAAAACGCCAGTACAAACACCATAGTTTTCGGCGTATATAGATCCACCGAAAGCTCCGC